CTCTCAAAATCTGCCATTTTTTGCACATTTAGCTCTGTATCTTCAAAATGGCTGGGCCTTCCTTTGCCAAAACTAATAACCACTTCTCCCAATAATTATAATTGAATGTTTTTAGATCATTCAAATCGGATGCTCCATTCTCTCAAAAACGATTTCTATTTTCTGTACTATTGCTCCTTTTCTCCGTAACGGCTGGACCTGCCTTTGCCAAAAACTAATCAGCACATCTCCCTATCAAATAGGAATCGAGTGTTTTTTGAATCATTGAAATCGGTTGATCCGTGCGCCCGAAAACGGACTGAAAAATTGTATCCATACATACATACACACAAACACATACATTTTTCTAAGGTATGCCAAAATGTTCAGAAACCACTGGAACGTGAAAAAATGTAAAAAAATTTCAATTTCAATTTTTGGACGATTACAATAACTTACCCTACGGGAAGTTAAAATAATTCTTCTTACAATTATAACTAATTTGGAAAGTAGAAGAAAAAAACTGATAGATTGCAAAAATTGCAAATGTTCGAAAAATATTGAATATTTTCAAATAGATTATTATAAATATTGTAATATTGTCTAATATTCATAAGAATTCTATAAACTGAATTGCAAAGTTAAAATTATTAATTTAAAGTATATTAGAACTCTAGTCAGAATTAAAAATAAAATCTGAATTATTTTCGATCTACAAAAAAAAAATTGAAAAAAAAATTGAAAATAAAATTGATTGATTTTTTTTTCTTAAAATCAATTATTTTGTTAAAACAAGCAGTAAGTTTTTCTCGAATCATTAAATCGGACACTTCTCTCAAAATCTTGCTATTTTTTGCACATTTAGCTCTGTATCTCGAAATGGCTGGGCCTTCTTTGCCAAAAACTAATAACCACTTCTTCCCAATCATTACTAATTGAATGTTTAGATCATTCAAATCGGATGCTCAGTTCTCTCAAAAACTCGATTTCTACTTTTTGCACTCTTTGCTCCGTATCTCCCTAACGCCAAAAACTT